GTTTTAGACTTTTTTCTTCTTGCACTCAATATGAAATGAGCTCATTAAGAGTCAACTTCCCCTTTTGATAGCTGTAACTAACCTTAAATTAATTGAATTGTGCAGCAAAAGAAATCAAAATCATATGCACGAGCAAGTCATCAGACAGCTCAAACTTTAATTTCATTGATTTTGACATAAGATGAGATACATCCATAAAGTATTCCCATATATTTTCTTTAGCTTATATTTTTGTAAAACCAAGTTTGTCAAAAGCGTATTAGTTTCAACTTATCATTCTTTGCAAAGCATTTTGGAATATTTCTTTAAGAAATTCATTGGGAAATACCTTATTAAATACAATGTTCTTGAATGTTGATGTAATTTTATGCTTCATGATCATACGATTTATGTAGTTTGAACGATCCCACTTATTTGAGTCTCGTTTTATTAATGGAATATTAAATACGGTGCCATGCTTCATGATCATACGATTTATGTAGTTTGAACGATCCCACTTATTTGAGTCTCGTTTTATTAATGGAATATTAAATACGGTGCCCATGAATGCTGTTGTAATTTTACGCTTCATGATCATACGACTTATGTAGTTTGAACAATCCCACTTATTCGAGTCTCGTTTATTAACGGAACTCTTATTCGTAAGAGAGTGGATTGTTTAGTCCTTAATAAAAAGGTCTAGATTCATACCACCAAGAACGATAAAAAATTTTCTTTCAAGATCTTAAATTTTGGTTGAAACACAGGAATTGAATTGATGTTGGCAGATATTGCAGAAGTGGATGGATTAATTGAACAGAGAACCTAAACCTAATTGGAAAATTCATATTCTAAATTGGAAATCAAAATTATAACTTTCAAATCCAAAATTCTTTCTTAAAAAAATTCTGAATTTCGAAATTTATGGCTAAAATTCATGATCCAAATTAAAATATTTCAAAACTCAATATATGAATTTCAACCACTGAATTCTTCCTTCAATCCCAATGATTTAACATGGAGTCAGCTCTGATACCACTTGATGAAAATTTAAACTTTACAAAACTATAAACCTTAGAACTTGAAAACATAAATTCCTCCATTGCCAATATCCTCATTGACGTTTACCAAGAAATTATTAAATACAGAACTTATCTTAATTCTTTGGGAACGATTATTTATTACTGGATTTTGGATCTTGAAACTTGAACTTCAATCTTTTCATCTTTGGCTTCTTGACCTTTGATCTTGAATTTTGCATTCTTTGATTCTCTAGTTATTGTTTTTGGTTTTATTTCTTGATCCATAATCTTGATTCTTGAATTCCTTCTTCTTGATTTTGATTGTGGATATTGGATCTTTCTCTTTAATATGTTTTCTCTTATATTTTTGTACTGATGGGATGATACAAAGAATGAGAAGTTACATATGAATTGTGGACCATGATCCTATATATAATTTCAATATGTATTTTGCGCCATCAGAAAATACAATTATAAAGGAATTTGGTTTCTACACATATAATCTGGTCCATACTTTATTTAGATGCCCTAAGTCCAACAATTTAATTCTTTATTAGTCCACTTTTAATTTTGGCTTAACTTTAAGATATCCATATACACAATTAATTATATATGTAGGTTTACATGATAAATTAAAATTTTCCCAACTAAAGATCCCTATCGAGGGAGTTGTTAATGGTTGGAGAATTTTTTTCATCCAGCATTATGGTATAACATCTCAAGATTTGAAGTAACTTTTAAGAAATTTTTCCATTGAGCTTTCCTTATTTCTTAAGAAAAAAACAGTTCAAAACTTACTTCGAAAAATATGCATCACACTATTTTTACTTCATTATCAAAGTACGGGGATAATGATCGCAACATGCACAAATCTAATACATGCATAGGTATCAAATACATTGAAAATTAAAAAATTAATTTAATCCAATTTAATGGTTACTTATGTGATGTCCAATGTGCACAAGAAAGAGGAACGTGGTATGGTGTGTTTAAATCTACCGTACAATAAGTTGTGTATGATGAAAATTGATGATAGTAAAAAGGCTTTTTTTTTTCCTTCTTCTTCTTCTTCTTCTTTAATCAATATAGCTAATTTGAGACAGAATGAAATAGATAAATATTCAATTTTTCGGCATATTAAGAGCCTATTTGAGCTCCTTTTTTATTTTTTAAATTGAAAATGCACTTTGAAATAGTATTTTACTAAAAAATATGTGGTAAAGACAAAAAAAAAAATGAATTTGCATGTAAAATTATTTTATTGAAAATGTGATTAAAATAAGAGAAAAAATTATTTTAAAAATAATGAAGACGAAACAAGGGTTAAGTCAATTTGAAGGACTGCCACATAGACATAAATCATAAATGTCAATCTATCATGTTTACCTATTTATATTTTCTTTTTATTACTTTTGTTTTACGATAGATTAAAAGTAAAAAGGATGGCAAATCAACATCGATATGATGAAACAATATCTTTTCGGTAGCGTGAATTGTGGTAACTTCGCATTAATAGTTGTACATGCTTTGATTTCAATTTTCCATTTATGAGAGTGGAGTAAAACTAGTTTACCTTAAAGAGAAAAATTCACACCAAAAAAATAGAAATGATAACCACAATTATGTTTCTTTTACCAAAAGAAGAACCATTACTTTCAAAAGGGCAAATGATTCCTAAGCACTAGTGCAATTTTTATTTTTATTTAAAAAAAAAAAAAAAAGAAAGAGAGAGAGATAGAGAGAGAGAGAAAAAGAGAAGGTACTTCTATTTTTTAAAGGGAAATTGCAGTAGAGACCCCAAACCTTTAAAACATTAGCAGATTTTTCTCAAATCTTTAATTTGTTGCAATCGCCACCCAAGCCTTTCGAAACGTTGCGGCGGAAGCTCTTTTTGACGGTTTTTATCCAAATGTCTGTTAGTTGACCAAAAAATTTGACTTTGACCATATTTTTAATAATTTTGATCATTTATTACATTAAAATAAGTTAGAAATTAAATTTAAAAAATTTAGAAAATAAAAACCAATCATCTTCTTCCCCTCACCCCACTCCATCCCCAACTATAAAAATCCAAACCAAAATGTAACCCATAGAAATATAAAGACAAAGAAACCAAAATATAACCCACAAGCCACAGATCTTTGGTTAAAAAAAAATTGATTTTCTATAGGTCACTTCCAATATTAAGGATGTATGGTAAAATCAATGGAATGTTTCACAATCATATATGCTGCTTCCTCTGCAATTTTTCAAGGGTTGTTGATTTTTTGTTGCTAGTAATAGGGAAAATCATTGACTTTGGAGAGAGGCAACCACCCATAAAAACTAAGGCCCTGTTCTCTTTACTGTTTTCGGGCCGTTTTCTGTTTTCGATTTTTCAAAACGGTGAAAACGTGTTCTCTTTCCCGTTTTTGAAAACGAATTTTCGAAAACGAAAAAAAATGTGTGAAGAAAACACAAAACGACTTTTTTGTCGTTTTGGGCGTTTTCAGTGTAAAACTTGAAAAAATTGAAAACGCGGGAAACAACTTTTTTTTTTTTTTTTTTTTTTAGGGGGTGGTGTGGTGATTCTCAAAATTTCAAAAAAAAAAATTAAAATTAATCTTTTTTTTTTTTTTTTTAGGTGGTGTTGTGGTGATTCTCAAAATTAAAAAAAAAAAAAATCATTTTTTTTGTTTTGAGAAACTAACAAAAAGAACGCATTTTCAATAATTTCAAAACAAACACTCAAAACACAAAACTCAAAATGAATTCAAAACTCAAAACACAAAACTGAAACACAAAGAGAACACCCCCTAAATCTCTCCATAATCCTTATTCTTCCCTTCCAATCTTATTTCTGTGGGTTACATTATGATTTGGGTCTTTATGGCTGAGAATGGAGGTGGAGATGGAAGTGGCGATGGTCGGGAATTGATTTTGGGTTGGGGGTGGGAGGAAGAAGATGATTGGTTTTTATTTTCTAATTTCTTTTTTTTTTTAATTTAATTTCTAACTTATTTTAATGTAATAAATAAAAAGTTACTATTTTACCCTTTCAAAAATATTAAAAATATGGTCAAAGTCAAATTTTTTGATCAACTAACAGACATTTGGATGAAAACCGTCAAAAAGGGCCACCGTTTCAACGTTTCAAAATGTTTGGGGTGACGATTGCAACAAATTAAAGGTTTGGAGAAAGTCTACTAATATTTTAAAGGTTTGGAGCCTCTGCTGCAATTTTCCTTTTTCTAAAATATGATATTCTTATTCCATCTTCTTGTATCTTTTGTTTTAAAGTCAATACAAGCATTTATTCAAATGAAAGGATAAGAATTGTCCATGTTTCCATTTTAGTTTTACTTTTTCAAGTCGAATTTACAGGGATAATAATTAATTTTTTAGTATTTGAATTAAACACAACCAGTTCATTTCATTATTCATTTGGAACATACTTCTTGTACATAATGCATTATCCATATCGATAGTGCATCCCTCTCACATGGAGAGGATTCAATTCAAATAAATTATATTTTATTAGAAGTGAGTCTCCTTTCGTTTGAAGGGATGGATACCGATATGAATATCGTAATGCACGTGTAGCATCGACCTATTCATTTTTCTTTTTTCGTCTATCTACTAAGATAAATTTATAACAATGAAATGTTTTTTATGATATATTGTACATGTTCATTTTCTTTATTCTTTATTGACTTTAACTAAAGACATGATTTATACACAAAGTTTATCACTATCTTTATTTTTAATTATGGTCAAGTTTGATATAGTAGACGACACCAAACATGCCCTCCACAAATATAACAATATGGTTACTCATTTGGTTTCACTTATTACTTTATAAAAATTTCTAGTCTCTAGACTAAAAGGAGAGGAACATTTGATATTCTACAAAAGATAAGGGACCAAAATGAAAAACCCAAAAATTATAATCCATTTCTTTCCTTTTCTCTACGCTTTGCACCCCTGTAGTTTTCCTATTCTTTCAATTAACCCCAAATGCTACATAAAAAATTCAGACTGCAAAATCGTGTAGTAATTTGCAGTCTCGTCTTCAAGCTCCCACGGTCCATCGGATAAAGCAGAGGGAGGAGGATTTTCGCCGGAATTTGTTTCTTCATCCGCTCTGTTAGGTATCCCAAGCTCGTCATCAGAGGCTTCAAGGAGGTGTTTCATTACTCTAACGCCGTCGTCTTTCTCTTCATCATCTTCCTTACCGCCACCACCGCCGGCAGCTTGGTCATGTTGATAATCTAATCCTAACTCAGCTTCTTCCTCCGTCGTTGACGGCAGATAGTCAAAGTCGAAGGTGGTGGTGGTGGAAGTGTAAGTAGAACTTGAACATGAGAGTTCTTGTTGAAGGGTTGTGAAAATTGCAGACAAATCTTGATTAGGGTCATACTCTTGTTCATTTTCAAGAATTGAGAGTATACTATTGTACGTGTTTTGACGCTTATCAGACTCGACTCTGTTAGCTTCTGCTTCTTCTTCACAGGATTCTTCTCTTGGGCGTTTATGTTGGGTTCCCGCCATTGTTAACACGGAAAGGTTGCAAAAAAAGATGAGAGAAGAAGGATGAGGAGAGAGAATCGAATTGGAGAGGTTTATATAGAGGGAGAAGGATAATTGCAGTTCCGGTCAATTGAGTTCAGAGAGAAATTAAGAATATTTAATTCATTTTATTTTATTTTCTTTGCGCGCGCGTGAGAGAGAGAGGGAGAGATGCTTGACAAGATAAATGAGGTTAGCTTTATTTCATTTTCTACTTTTTTGGAAGGACACGATCCCTTCCAAATAACTCTTGATTAACTCGGAATATATTCAAATTATGTTTAATTATAGTATTATGCTATTTGTACAATGTATGTTTACAAATTTGTTTGACAAAATAAGTATAGACAAAATTCGGGTCATTGATTTTCAAAGATTTAAATTATTATTTTTTAAATTAATTGGTACAGATATTACCTTGTCAACCAACTTTGTATATATAGCATAACTTTTAATTATAATAGCATAATAATTGACAAACATCTCTCGTGTTTTTGTTGCATAACATTATTTGATTTAACTTACTAAGCCCCAGTTTGATTCATATTCTTTTCTTATTAAAATTAAAAATATGACCGTTATCTATCACATCAAGATACCAAATTTGAATTTCTATCTCTTGTGTGGGGCTCGTAACGACTATATTTTTCATTCTCATTTTTCCAAAAATGATAAACAAATGGAGGCTAAATACGCTATAAAGCTTCACAAATTATATAAATTGAAAATAAGTTAACTTAATTTTAAATTAAATTTCATGTTGAAGATTTGAGTTACTTTTTAATTTTTATAATTAAAATTGTGATTCACAATGGGATTATACTTTCTTGTGTTTTGTCAAGTAATTTGGACATCATAAAAGTATTCGTCTTTTCAGGGGTATATGATCATATTGTTAATCATTGATTTAACAAATGTAGATCGTGCATCATCAGTCAAAATGCCGTTGTCAAGGTGGAGACAAAAGCAAGAAATAATTAATGAAAGTTAGAACATTTGTTTTCAATTTATTACTTTAATAGTAAGTCCATATGCATTTTTTTAAAGTTGAGGATAAAATCAATACTAGATCAATGAATTGGGGACAAATAATGCAAATTTTTGAAAAAAATATATATTAATAAATAGGACGGGAGTGAGTCATGACGGAGTAGGTTTTTTCCCGAAAAGTTGCGATGCATCATTCATCATAAATTTCTAAGAAATTGTTTAATGTATGGGGTCACTTTCCCCATTCAATAAATGAGATATGAATAGGATTGGAAATATTTGGATGATCACGATTGTTTTGATTGGAGTTTGAAGGTATGGTTCAAATTAATTGATAATGTATTTTGAATTTTGAATCTACACTACCATAAGAGAGGGAATGAAGGTTTACTTTTCATTTTTGTCACACTTAATCGGTTTGAAAACTGATTTGACAACAGGAAAAATTATATTTAAAAACACTGTAAGAATTTTGTCACACGTCAATGTCTACTGCAATATTTCTCCATTGTTTTGAATCTGACACCATGCCCTTTCTTCTAATTTTCACGCTATTAACTATTAACAATATCCTATATATTTAAAATTTTAAAATTATATTAATAAAAAATTATTGTAAATCAAATGTTAAAAAAAAAAAAACATATTCAAAATGATGTATTGAGAAAATTGTTGCGAAAAAATAATAAATAGTAATAAAATAATTGATTTTTTTAAGAAAAAAGACGACTTATACGTATTTTTAACGCATACGTTTAATGTACGTTTAACTATTTTCGATATTCATTTAGATCATTCGATGTGTCTATGATATAGTTTTCGAAATGAGTTTCGAAAGAATATAAAACATTTATCGATTCCACTATTGTATAATTGTCGATAAATTTTTAAAGTTAGCTTGTTATCGAAAATTTTGAAATATAGTTTGAAAATGTCTATTTTGACGTCCCGTAACATTTGCTACGATTAGCTGTTTCACGCACCGTTAACGACGTGCAATACTATGCCGTGAGTACTTTAAAATGATATTAAGAATATAATATTTCGACTTCGTTTGATATCCCGTAATGAGCCAGAAAATGAATAGAAAAACATAAGTTAAAAAAAAAAATCACGAAGGTTTGATGAATTTTGTTTAACTTATATTTTTGTGTTCATTTTCAAACTCATTACGAGATATCAAACGAAGTCGGAATATTACATTCTTAATATCATTTTGAAGTACTCGCGGCATAGTATTGTACATCGTAAACGGTATGTGAAACGGCTAATCGTAGCAAATGTTACGGGACGTCAAAATAGGCATTTTCAAACTATATTTCTAAATTTTCGATAACAAACTAAATTTAAAAATTCATCGACGATTATACAATAGTCGAATCGATAAATATTTTATATTCTCTCGAAACTCATTTCGAGAACTATATCATAGACATATTGAATGATCTAAATAAATATTGAAAATAGTTAAACGTACATTAAACGTATGTGTTAAAAAATGCATATAAGTCGTCTTTTTTCTTTAAAAAATCAATTATTTTATTACTATTTATTATTTTTTCGCAACAATTTTCTCAATACATCATTTTGCTAAAAAAAAATTATGTGGTATGACGTAAATTTTTTTCTCCATGTATGGAGTAAATGTCTTTTTTTTCAATAATTTTTTTATTAATATAATTTTAAAAATTTAAATATATAGGATATGGCTGATAGTTAATAGCCTGAGAATTAGGAGAAAGAGATATTTCATTGCAGCCACATTTGTATTATAAGTGAAATTTCAAAGTAATCTTCATATCTTATGCCAGTGATTATACAGTAATGTACGACTATTTAGATAATAAAGTATGGCTGATGATGAGATTTTACAATGTAAATAAATTTTTTTGTTTTAAGCATAAAAAAAAAAGTTTCAATATTCAGTATTTCTTTTTTTAGTTTATCCCATCTATGCTTCATTTTTTACAACTAACACATGGACACATAAAATTTAACATCGTCTTTCCAACATCGTGTACCCAATATAAAAATATTTATTAAGCCACTATATCTCAGTTTTTCTTTTATAATTAAGCTAACACAAATCTTCAACTTCACATCTGCAACTACAAAAATAAAAAAATTATCGTTATCATTTACAGCTTCCATACTTTAAAAAATTCTAACTTCTATTCTTTTGAGCTAAATCCTACAAAATGGATAGATAAAAAAAGAGTTTGACCATATACATATATATTTAATTTTTTTAAATTTCTTTCTTCGTATTATAAATAATTTGTTTCGATTTAATTTTTTTTCATTTTATGATAAAACATAACTTTTTTAAATTTTAATTAAATTAAATTTATTTTAAATTTAAATTATTTCAATTGAATTAAAAAAATTATTATAACTTTTTTGAGTTTTTTATTTTTGTCTGCAATTCTTTTTTTTTTGTTCTTTAATTTGTTAAATCATTTAATTTTCCTCATTTCACGGACACATAACTTTTGATTATTGAATCAAAATACATTGAGAGTTTTATTACTTTGTCAATTATTTAGCATATATATCACACTGTAGCAAATTTTCTTTGTTTTTTTTTTTTTTATCGTGAGAACAAAAACGACGTCGTATTATCTTCAATCATTTTCTGTCTACTTTTTTCTCCATTTTCACACGCTACAGCCATGCCTCTCTGCTTCTCCATTTCTGCACACAATCACCCATCAGTTTTCATTGGGTTCTGTCCATTTGGTTGACCAAAAAATAATATCGGTCAAAATGTTTACTATATATTTGAATCATAATTTACTAAGGTGGTTCACTAAAATTCCCCTTAAAGTGGCTATTTCTCTCTCACTTCATGCGTGCTTTATCTCTCCACACCAAACGAAATCTTATCAGATTTCCTTACTCCTCAAAAATTTGAGTTTTTGAAACCTTCGAATGAGAGAGATCTTAAGAAGGCAACTACAGTGTGAGGTGAGAAGGCAATCCAATCATAGACAGGTAAACAATTTCTTCTATTATAGTTGTATAACAGTACCTTCATATTGTTTTCTCAATAATTCATACCCATGTTCTTCAATCATTTACTACCCAGTCAATACGCCTGTTTTTCATTTATCCTTATTTTTTTCTTTTTGGTTACATTTAATATCTGTTTTTATTTAGGTTTGTGAAAGTAGCTACTTTTATTGGATAACTGCAATTGGGTTTTGAAAGTTCATGTTTTTTAAAGCTAAATTAGTTATGTTTCGAGTTTATTGCATGAATTTTATGGAAATGACGATTTGGAATTTACATTTACATTTTTATATTTACATTTTAGTTTTGTTTAATTAGAATGTTAATGAGGTAAAGATAAATCAAGGAGAAGATTCCGAAATCAACACCACTTTGGATCCGAATTTTGTAGAGGTAATTACTTCAACTCTTCCGCTTTATATGTTAATGCAATTTTTTTCCTGTTTACAATGCTGTGCAAAAGACAAAAGAGTTGTGGTTGTGCATTGTAAAGATTTTTAATGTGCAAGGCAGTATATGCTTGATTCTAAATGTTTTAATATCTTGCACCTTTACCTGTGATGCTGATTCTGATCAATATTTTTGAATTGGCTTTTTTTCTTTGGAAGAAAAGGAAGTGTTCTGTACTAAGTTCAATCGTGAGATCTCTCAAACCTTAAGAAGATATACACGGACGGTGTAACATGAAATTCCACTTGAAAAGGCAAGAGGAAATAAAACATCAATTTCAAATTCATTACTTTTTTTGGGTTCAAATAGTAGTAATTTGTTGTTTCTTCTATGTTTTGGTGTTTGGGTTTTGCCACAAATGGTCCCAGAAGAAGCAGGTGATTTGTGGATGGCTTATAATCTGATCGCCAAAGGTGATACCATCTTAACTGTCCAGTCAGGTACCTTTTAGTTTCAATTTCAGATTTTTCCTTTTAATTCTTGTATGCATTGGTTTATTCCATGTTTTTGCTATTTCTAGAATATATAGC